AACAGTATAAAATTGTCAGTCACGGACTAATATAGCCATGAACATAAACTTGAACTACATATAGCAAACATGAATGCTGTTGAAGCAAAATCAGTTAGTTGCTGAACATAAGCATGGCATCCCTTCGGTAAAAGCATGCACAGCACAACTGCATGTGAAGGCTGAATAGGTGGTATAATTATGAAGAGACATATGGGGACACCAGAAAGCAAGTGAATCCTTTAGAGAAGGACCTTCAATAGTAGTGGCTGTTTCGCTCTGGTCAGTGGGTACATTTATTCATTGTCATTTTCATAACTTTTTGTGTTGGAAAAACTGTTAATGAATTTAAAAGAGCGAAAAAGCACAACATGAAGACGACTCTTCTGGGAATTTTACTATGAAATAGCAGAGTCAAGGGAGGGTTTTTAGGAAAGAAATATGTTCCTGATATTCTTAACCAAGGATCCCGCTTCCTTGCTTGCACCACAGACAAGACCTTCCCTTTGCAGCGCCAGCACCAAAGGCCCCTCATTTTCCTGACAGTTTTTTGTGGTTTTGGTTTGTTTGTTTGTTTGTTTTTATTAAAGCAGATTCCCCCCCCCCCCCCCCCCCCCGATTGTGGACTGTGTAGTGACTTCTGGGGCAGGAGTTAGAGGAAAGAGTAACTTTATTGTGGAGAAACCTGATAAACACAACTGAGGTCAACATCAAACCAAGTCATAAATCATATCGAGGTCAACATCAAACCAAGTCATAAATCATATCGACAGTACAAACTAGTAATTCAATCTGACATTAGGGAATGGCACTTTTCTGTGATTTTCCTTCTCCAAACCAGTAACCTCAATCTAATCATGAGAAAAATAAACAAATTCCAGTAGATCGCCTTGTATAACATCCTTGACCGGTGACATGGCCAAGATCCTCACAAGGAGAAGTCTGACAGAATGGCACAGCCAACAGGAGCCTAGCTAGAAAGGACTAGTGTGTCCTGGATGGGATCCTGGAACAGAAGATGAATACCAGGCCGAGGTTCTTCCTCTGAGATAGCCCAGGCTCTGCAAATTTAATGTCTCTGATATTTAATGTCTTTTAAAAACTGCTACAATTACCTCAAACACCTACCTGACAAGTTTGTTTTCTTCCGCTAAGTGCACATCCATGACTACAAAAATATCCTAATAACGATACATAAAAAGCCAGAGGCCGTCATGACTGATACAACCAGACAGACAACTGAACAACAGGCTGCATGAGGCAACCAGGCCGGCAGGGGGGTTAGTGAAGGACGACAAAACAACTGAACAGCAGGTTGCATGGGGCAACCAGGCCGGCAGGGGGGTTAGTGAGGGAGACCAACCGACTGAGCAGCAGGCTGTGTGTGACCAGGCTGGCTGGGGGGAGGTTGGGGGCAACCAGGCCAGTGAGGGGAGGGGCAGTTGGGGGCAACTAAACCAGCAGGCAGAGGTGATTAGGGATGATCAGCCTGGCAGGCAGAGGTAGTTAGGGAAGAAGGAAGGAAGGAAGGAAGGAAGGAAGGAAGGAAGGAAGGAAGGAAGGAAGGAAGGAAGGAAGGAAGGAAGGAAGGAAGGAAAGAAGGAAGGAAGGATGGAAGGGAGGGAGGGAAGTAGGCCAGTGTTTGGAGATACTGTTTTAGTTTGGAAGATTGAGAAGATGAATCTTAAAGCAATAGGACATTCATACTATAGACTGTGGGAGCTAAGACTTAGGGCACCTATGGTATTCAAAATTACAAGATGACCATCAAAGATGGTACTTAAAACTGTGACAGTCATTAGGTAGAAAGTGGTCAGAGCCATAAAACATACAAATATGAAGGCTGGCTGAGGTTCCATCACAAGGAGGGTAATTCTCTTGCAAGTGGAAGTGAAGGTAAGAGGGAACAAGATGTGGTTGTGTTCCAGCTACGCCTTCAGATATAGGGCCATGTGAGATGCATAGAAGGGAGAGCACTACAGGGAAGGACAGTTGGGGCAGACCCAGGCCTGCAGGGGAGAGCAGTTGGGGGAGTGGGGAGGACCAGGCCCGCAAGGGAGGGCAGTTAGGGGCAAAAGAGGCTGGCAGGGGAGCAGTTAGGCATCAATCCGGCTGGCAGGGGAGTGGTTAGGGGGTGATCAGGCTGGCAGGCAGAAGAGGTTAGGGGCAGTCAGGAAGGCAGGCAGGCGAGCAGTTGGGAGCCAGCAGTCCCGGATTGTGAGAGGGATGAACAGTCCCGGATTGTGAGAGGGACGTCCGACTGCCCATTTAGGCCCAGGCTGGTGGACATCCCTTGAGGGGTCCCAGATTGGAGAGGGTGCAGGCTGGGCTGAGGGACACATACCACATACTCCCCTCCCCCATGCATGAATTTTGTGCATAGGGCCTCTAGTGTTATATAATTCATATGTCCAAGATATCATCATTTCAACATGTAGCACTGGTCACAATTCAGGCACTCAGTAGCCACCTGTCTAGAGATACTGCACAAGCAAAGCAAGTCACTAGAGATCATATGCTAGAGCCGGGGTCAGCAAACTGTGGCTCGTGAGCCACACGCTGCTCTTTGGTCCTTGAGTGTGGAGCTTCCACAAAATACCACAGCCTGGGTGAGTTTATTTTGAAGAAGTGGCATTAGAAGAAGTTTAAGTTTAAAAAATTTGGCCCTCAAAAGAAATCTCAATTGTTGTACTGTTGATATTTGGCTCTGTTAACTAATGAGTTTGCTGACCACTGGCCTAGAGGAATGAGAACTAGAAGATGGATTTGTGATCCTGAGGTTTAAGCTTGGGATACTGTAATGATAACAAAAATAAGGATTATGAGTTAACATCTGCTGTTTCAGAAAAGATACAATACTGCTATTATGGAATTGATAACTTTTATTTCCATCAAGAATGATCATCATATCATTATTTAAACATAGCTGGAAAATCCTGAAATAATTTAAACTGAAGGCACTGAACAAATAGAAATATTTAACTGTTTAAGCTTCAATTGACAAAATTCAAATATTTCAATAGTAACAATAAATTATGAATAAATTTCCATCACCAAATATCATTCTGACCAAAAGCAATATAATCTTTTGTAATAAAACCAAATTAGCTTAAGCTGATTTAAAGATTTCCATAATAAAAATAATATTGAAAAGTATTTCTTCTTTCAGAATACTCATTATAACCACTGAGTTCAATGAAAATTATTTTATATATAATAAAGTAGCAGGTTGGGGTATTTGTTGATGGATGGCCATTCCCTAAGAAATGACTCATTTTTACAAAATGTTTTTAAAAATAGCAAAGTGGGTTTCAAAATTCTACTTGGGGAGTAGGAATAAAACTTGTTCCATGTCAATTAGAATATCAAAGCATTTCAATATCAAATTGCTTCCAAAGCCAATCATGACATAACAGTAATATACTGCATGGGGCATTCCACTGTATCTTGGTTACCTGTCAACTACAGTGTGGCTAAGAGGTTGAACAAGTTAGTAATAATTATTCCATTTCTTATTTATTCAAAAGAGATATATTTTAAAAAATCATTATAAAACTAACTGGAATAATTGGTGACATGCTAGAATACAATGAGCACAGTAATGCAATTGCTAAGTTTGAAAACAAAGTGGTCATGCTTCATAATATACTGTAGTTATTTTGAAATACATTCTCTGATCATCAATACCATTCATTACATAGGTCATTTGTAAATTAGCTCAGATTCTGAACTAGGTTTCTAATGAAACTTTTTTCAAGTATGCACAATATTAATAAGGATATATATATATTTTTTATCTTATTCACGCCTTCTTCTGAAGGACAACCATATTGAATAAAGGACAAACATAATGGGCTGGTCATAGCTTTCAAAAACTTCTCAAAAAATATGAAATAGTCTAGTGACCAAAAACTGATAGATATTCACATCTAAAATCTACTATTTCAGGTTTAAAAAAAACAACACAGAATTTTTCACTTTTTAAAAAAATAATTAAGTTTGTAAGTAAAGGAATAATGATGAAAAAGAAGGGTTTCTAAAACACTCAAGAATCTTAATGAATAAAAATTTTAAAAGTTTAGCTTCCCCTACTTAGCTGTGTTGGGTAAGTGTGTCTTGAATGGTTTTATCTTTATGATCTAATCGCATAAATCACAAAAACATATCCAGCCAGGTTTATTGACAGAAGAATAATACAAACTCTAAAAAATAATTTTAGCAAAAACTGCTTTAAAATTTTCCTACATGAAACATTTCTTTGGAAATGAATCTTTAATGCTTTTGGACTGTTCAAGTATATGCAGCTTTTAACATCTCCAGTACTAAACTATAATTATCTCTCAAATTCCTGTCACTGGATAATGCTATCTTTTATTCTCTAATATTCTAATAAAGGGATTTTTTTTTAAATAAACTTGTGGTGTCAAAATTATTTCTTCATCATCTCTGAGCACTGAGAGATTAAGAAGTAAGCCAGAAAAATTTATAAACAGTATGAAGTTTTGAAATGTTGGCACCTATGAAAAATGGGAAATGGTTACCATCCAAATTTAAAATCTATCCATTCCTGGCATTGGCAGTAACAGTGACAGCAAATGCTATTGCTCCTGTCTTCACTGGTACCAGTCTTGGGCATGTGTAACTCATTATCTGGTTCAGTCAGTGAAAACAAAGAGCCGCCAGAAGTCCTTGAATCTAGCTGGCTGGGTCGCAGTTTTGACTGACTTCATTCATTATTATAGGTCACATTCTGAAAATATGAACTGATAGGATTAGTGGAAGACTGTTTCCAAGAGGAAAGAAATGTGGCTAACTAGAGTTTAACCACTTAAACAACAACAGAAGGACAATCTTAGTGGTTTGGGGCCCTGTATATACTAGCTGTGCTAGTAGCTCCTAACAACCAGAAAGACAAAAAAAAAAAAAAAAAAAAAAAAAAAAAAAAAAAAAAAAAAAAAAAGGATTTCCTTTATGAAAAACCTAAAAAAGAAAGATGTTTGAGTTAAAATCTATTCCAAAATCTATACCAGGCTGCCAGGCCAGCAAATAACTGTCAGAGTGACTTTGTTCCTCTGCTCCTTCAACATGGGAACTAATGCGGAATGGCTCATGCCCACAGTTGACAGGCCGTTCACAGCCACGATCATATCTCCACATCTGGACAAAGACAGACAGAAACAGAAACAGACTGTCATGATTTTCATGGTATTAAAACCATTTAAAAATATGTCTTTATTGATTTGAGAGAGAGAGGAAGGGAGAGGGAGAAACATGGATTACCAGGAGATTTGTTTAGCATAAAAATCAGTTTAACTTAGTAACCATTAATTGTCAATGATTAGAGTGTATTATCTAGTGTGAGAAACATCTGGGGTGAATTTTTAAATCTATGCTGGTTTTCCATGGCCAATTATCCTTCTGCCACCCTCTCTCCTTTAACCAGTGGGTGATTTCAAGGGCAAGAAGAATAATTTTCATGTAAGCATAAGGCAAAATATAATTAGGCGAATAAATTTATCTTTTATGATTTTTGGTCTTTAGTTTGTAATATGAACATACTTATTTTATTGTTAGCTATCTCAACTTCTTTTTGGAAGTAGATGGAATGCAAATTATAAGCTAACGGACTCATTCTGGTTAATTTAGCTAAGAGAATGGCTAATTCATTTCCCCCTACTCTTTCCTTGTAAAATAATACTTTCCATTTTATAAAATAATCTGATAAAAGACTTATCTGGCGTGTACCAAACCCGAACAACTTTTCACAATATTATTTTAATGTCACTTTCTGTTTGCAAACACTGTAATCTCTCTGTTTGTGCTGCTTTTTGTCTACGATGTCAATTTAATTTTTGCGAATTAGTTCTTTCATCAAAAACTAGGCACTAAGAACTTATAATCACCCATCTCCTCTTGGTTTGTATAATCTTTTGATATAACACCTCATTCTTTTCCCTGCACCTGAGTTTTGAAAAAGTAAAGAAGGCTGCATGGAGCCTGAGCAAGTCCTTCCTGTCCAGTGGTGACAACCGGCCAAGGGGACGGTGGGAAAGGCTCTGGAGCCAGGTAGTCTGGGTTTGAGTTGCGTCAACCACTCTAAGCTGTTTGATTGTGGGCACGTTTCTTAACCTTCCTAAGCCTTAGTTATCTGGTTTATAAGTGGGAATTACAACACCTCCTAGGCTTAAGAGGATTTGATAATCCAATCAGTCTCAAGCACCCAGCACTGTGCCTGGCACATCACACACTCGTCCATTAAATATTTGTTGAGACCTTACTACATATGCAAGGCACTGCTCTGGCTACCAGGGATGTAACAACAAATATAACGAAGTCCCTCTCCCCCGCCCCGCGTGGAGCTTGCATAAATATATTGTTAGGGAGTTGTAAGTGCTGCGGAGAAAAATACAGCAGAGGCATCTAATGACAGGACTAGACCTGAGTGAATTGGGTGGCAAAACTGCTCCGAGCTAGTCACATCATAGTATGTGAAGTGCAATGACTCAGGTTCAGGCCTGTCACCAGATTAACAAAATATACCTATGAGTGGCAAGATTGTCAAGGTAATGCATTGTCTACATCAGGGTTGGCAATATTTTCCTATAAAGGGCCAGATGGTAAATAAATATTTTAGGCTTTGCCAATCATATGGTCTCTGTCACAACAAATCAACTCTGCCACTGTAGCTCAGAAGCAGTGACACACAACATGTAAACAAGTGAGCATGGCCATGTTCCTATAAAACTTTATTTACAAAAACAGCTGCATTTGGAGCTGATCCCTGGTCTAGATCATATCGGTCACAACAAACATGAATCACATCAGTAAATAACAAGACTCACTTTAATCTTCCATCATAATAAGCAGGCGTTCCCAAGACAATGGTTTTAATGAAGAAAGGCTGATTGGTGTGGTTCTCTTCATATCCACCAACAATACTAAAGCCCCAACTTCCCAAGTAGCTTCTTCGTAAAACTATATCATGGCAGCTATGAAGGGAACTATAAACAAATACAGACACCAGGAATCAATTAATGGAGGCAATTACAGCCCGCTCATCTTTGTTATAACTGCTCATCATGTCATACTTTCCATCACTGGGAAAAGAAAAAGGGCTACTTTATTTTCTTCTGAATGCATTATTTTGACCACCATTTTCCAGCACAGATGCAGTTCTACGTAGACTTGAATTTCTTTCACTTTTTTCAGTCTTCTCTTCCCAAGTGAATAACACACACACACACACACACACACACACACACACACACACAGGATTTAAGTAAACTTGGTTATAAGTTACACCTCCAAACTTGTATAAAATAGTTCTGAACCTATATTTTCTCACTGTACTGTTAACAGGTCCTCCATTCTGATATCCACTGGTATCTTCAAAATTTATATGGTAGTACACTTGGCTGGGTGACTAGGAGGTTAGAGCATCGGCCTATAGACTGAAGGGTCCCAGGTTTGATTTCTGGTGAAGGGCCTGTCTCTGAGTTGCAGGTTCCATCCCTGGTCTTGGCTGGGGTATGTATGGGAGATAACCAATTGATGTTTCTCTCTCTCTTCCCTTCTCCTCCTAGCCCTTCCACTCTCTTTAAAAAATAAATGGAAAAAATATCAATGTTTGAGGATTAATAAAAACAAAACAAAACAAAACAAAACAAAAAAAGTGGTATGACTTCAGCACTCAATTGAAAGAAAATGAGTAGAGCAGATTCCCCCAAAATGTAAGATCACTATCCATCTTTTTAATCTACCCAAGGAATTAGAATTTGCTGTATTTTCCTTTTTCACTTAATATGCTTCCATTTTAAGAGACTCTAATGGACAAAATAGGGGACTCAAATCTCGAAAATAGTAATAAAAATCTCCTATTTCAATTTTGGTGTATGAAATAAACAGATATCTAGTAGCTAAATCATTTGTCATAAAAAAAAAAAATCTCTCTCCACAAGGTCCCTACAGGTCCCCGAGACATGAATTCTATTACAATTTTAGGCCTCTTTGTTGTTTTTATTTTATTGATTTCAGAGAGGAAGGGAGAGGGAGAGGCAGAAACAGTAATGATCAGACAGAATCATTGATTGACTGCCTCCAGCATACCGCACCCCCCCCCCCCCCCCCCAGGATCTGGCCCACAACCTGTGTCTGCACCCTGACCAGGAATTGAACTGTGACCTCCTGGTTCATAGGTCGATACTCAATCAGTGTATCGTGAACACAGTGACCTGGAAGCCTTTTTGTTTGTTTTAAACCAAGAAGACAAGTTAGCCAGTTAGATTGTAAACAAACTAGAGGCCTGGTGCACGAAATTTGTGCACGTGGGGGGAGGGGCGGGAAGGAGTGCTGTTCCTCAGCCCGGCCTGCACCCTCTCCAATCTGGGACTCCTGGAAGGATGTTCTACAGCTAGTTTACAGGGATCAGGCCTAAACTGGCAGATGGACATCTCTCACCCAATCCCAGACTGTTGGCTCCTAAATGCTCGCCTGTTTGCCTGATTGCCCCTGACCACTCTACCTGCCAGCCTGCTTGCCCCCCTCTCCCCCCACCCCCCGTCAGCCTAATCACCCCCAACTGCCCCTGTGCCAGTGTACTCACCCCCAACTGCCTCCCCTGCCAGCCTGCTCATCTCAACTGTGCCCCCTGCTGTCCTGCTTTCCCCCACTCTCCCTCCCCATTTGCCTGCCCCCCCCGCCCCCCCCCCGCCAGTGATCCAGTATCCCAGCCCCATCATTTTATCTTTCTTTTTTTCATCGCCTCCTTGAGCGAAGGCCAGTGTTGGCTGGAAACAGGCATCTGGGATTTATTTATCTTCTATAATTGAAACTTTGTAGCCTTGGGCAGAGGCCAGGGCTGGCCAGGGTGGATGGGAAGCTTGACTTCCTCCATTGCTGGGGGCAACCCAAGCCTCCTGCTTGCTCCAGCTCTGTGGCCACTGCCCTCTTTGTTGGGCTAATTTGCATACTTGCTCCTGATTGGCTGTGGGTGTAGGAGAGTGATGCTCAATTTGCATGTTTCTCTTTTATTAGTATAATCTACTAATCCAATTGTATAATCTAATAATATCCTTTTTTTTATTGTTTTTTATGTGAAAGTACTTTATAAACCAGAGTACTATACAAATTCTACCCTGTTTCCCCCAAAATAAGACAGTGCCTTATTTTCAGGGGATGTCTTATCTTTCCATGCACTAGGTCTAATTTTCGGAGGATGTTTTATTTTTGGGGAAACACGGTAGTTATTACTAATTTATTCCAAATGAAGGTAGGTAGCCCAGAAATTGGCACATTCTTATCCTTTATTTTTATTTTAAATGAATAATTTTCATACTTTGTTAAGAATCAAAATGTTTCATCATAGTTCGATTTTAGGATTTTTTTATATGTTAAGAATCTAAGCTGATTTGGAAACAAAGATAAGAGCACATTCTTCCCACCTAAATATCAAATTATGCAATAATCACCTGGAGGTTCCATGACCAGACCCTGACCAAGTTCAGAACACATTGGCTGGTCAGTCAGTCAAGAAGCAGTGAATTCTTTAGAAACATAGGTAGGAGCAGCTATGCTTGAATACCAATCATTGGATTTAAGACTCTTATGCCCAATAAAAATTGAGTTTTATACCCAGCCATTTTAGGAGAGTTAAAAGCATTAAGAAAAAAGGGCTTGTAGAAAGCCTCCTGGGATAAGACAAGGCTCTACACTTTGACCCCACGAACATGAAGTCTAAGCATGTATCAGAATGAACGTTAATAATGACAGCTTTCCTGAGCAAGAGACTGCTTGCCCACGTATGAGCCTTAACAGAAACAGACAAATGGATTTATTAATTTTTATAAATAGATGTCTTTTTAGCTTAGTTCTTATTATTACATTTACCTTTTAAATATAAGCTAAAAAAAATGACCATTTATTGTAACTTGATTTGATGTTGCTACTTTTATCTAAAATTTACTGGGTTATACACTAATAAAAATTATAATTATAATCCTAGGTAATATGCAAATTAACCAGCACTCCATCACAAATATGCCAGTGACCATAGCCAGAAGATGGCAGCACCCAGTCCTCTCAGCCCCACCGGAGTCCCCAGTCCTGGAGGGGTGGTCACTGAGAGTGGGCATTGCTATGGCAATGAAGCAAGCATTCCACCCTGGCCGTGGAGGGCCTCAGTGCAGCAGGCATGGAGCGGTGGGGGGGTAGGGGAAATGCTTGCATCGTCACCTTGGCAATGAGGCAAGCATTCCATGCCTGGCCGTGAACGGGCCTCTGGGCTGCAGAGAGCCTCTGGGCAGCGGGCGCAGAGTGGCCAGGCCCCACAGAGAGCTACTGGCGCACGGATTCGTGCACAGGGCTACTAGTTACTTTATTAAGCAACAAAAAAAGCTGTCAGTACCTTGGAAGCCCAAGCCACATGACCCATGATGGGGACCAAGTGGCATCGTACTCGTTCTCACTGAGAGTGCTTGGCTGCGCATCCGTGGCCTGGGTGGCCTCCTCAACAACCTGGACCTCAAGGGCTTTCAGGGCAACAGCAGGGGATGCAGCACTGGCTTTCAGCATAGCAACAGCCTCACTGTGACTTAAATTGGTCAGATCAATGCCATTGATATTCAACAACACATCACCTGTTCAAATGACAAGAAAAAAAAAAAAAAAAGAATGAGCTGAGCTACTAAGTGATTATCTCCCTGTAAATTCTTCTACTGGTAAGCTAAGCAACAAAAGCTAGTTTCATGACTCATATGAGATAAGGTAAAAGACCATTTTTTTCTTCTTTGTAATTTTTATAATACTGAGAAAAAATTCAACTCATGAAAATCACTCCAGCCCTGGCCGGTTTGGCTCAGTGATAGAGTGTCAGCCTGCGAACCGACAGGTCCCAGGTTCGATTCTGGCAAGGGCACATGCCAGGGTTGTGGGTTTGATCCCCAGTAGGGGATTTTTAGGAGACAGCCAATCCATGATTCTTTCTCTTCATGGATGTTTCTATCTCTCCCTCCCTCTTCCTTCCTCTCTGAAATCAATTATATATATATATATATATATATATATATATATATATATATATATATATAATTTTCAATTATATATATATTTAAAGTAATTTCATAATATATAGGGAAAAGTGTGGCTTGAGGAACTGTGATTCCATTGGAAGTCAAAAGTCAAAATCCTTGACCCTGGCATGTCATAGGTTTAGCTGAGTACAGGCCCTTGCAAATTCAGTTCTCTTTTTTGAACTTCAATGATTTCTACTGTTCTTTCTAATTCAAAAATTATTTGACACTTTGATAACTTAGACATGAATTTTTAATATTCTATGTTTACACAGTTTTATACATAAAGACAGCCCTACACAGTTCACTCAGTGCACACATATCAGAATATGTATAGAGAGTATATTTTTGGGCTTACACAAAGAAATGAAACTAGTGATTTGAACATCTTTTCCTTGAGGGAGAAAAAAAAGTATTTGTTCCTCTGTCAAATAATATGATAAAAAGGGCAGTGGGGATTAAATAAAAAGCTAGGAAGAAAAAGATTATTTCTGTAGGAAGCACACATACTTGTATCAAGCAACCTACATAAAAACTCCTCTCCCAATTCATCTATTATTCAGATTGTTAAAGCAAAACGTTTTCATTGTAGAAAATTTAGAAAACATAACAAATAATAAAAAGGAAATAAAATTACCCCCAATTCTATAACTGGACAAATACCTGTAAAAAATAGCAGCCTTCTAAAGAGATTATTCATATAACATTCAATTTATTCTAATTTCAACTTTATGGTTTTTAGTATAGTCACAGAGACCCCTCATTTTAAGATCAACCCCCAAAAGACATGTACTCATTAACAGTCACTTTTCTTCCCCCAGGCCTAAGTAATCACTAATCTACTCTCTATCTCTATGGATCTTCCCACCTGGGCATGTCATATAAATGGAACCACATGTGGTCTTTTGTGACTGGCTTCTTCTTTCCATAGGCATAATGTTTTCAAAGTTCACCTATACTGTAGCTTGTGTCAATGCTCCATTCCTCATTAGAGCCAAATAACATTCTATTGTATGGATATACCATATTATGTTAATCCATTTGTTAACTGACAGATATTTGGGTTGCTTCTACTTTTTGGTTATTTTGAAAAATTCTGCTATGAAACTTTATGTGCAAGTTTTTGTGTGGTCACATATTTCCATTTGTTTAGGAACAGAATTGTTATAGATCAGATGGTAACACTATGATTAACTTTTTGAGGAATTACTAAACTCTTATCCAAAACAGTTGCACCAATTTACATTTCCACAGGCAATATATGAAGATTCCAATTTTTCCATATCCTTGCCAATGTTTGCTATTGCCTTTTTATTATATTTATCCTTGTGAGTGTGAAGTGGCTTTGATTTGCATTTCCCTAATAACTAATGACACTGTATATATCCTTTGGAGAAATGTCTATTCAGATCCTTTGCTCGTTTTTCAGTTGGGTTATTTACACTTTTATGTATTGAGTTGTAAGAGTTCTTTAGTACTCTAGATACAAATCATCAGATATACAATTTACAAATATTTTCTCCCATTCTGTGGGTTATCTTTTTACTTTCTTGGTGGTGTGGGTCCATTATCAAATTTGCAATTTTGATGAAGTCGTTTATCTATTTTGTCATTGTTGCTTGTGTTTTTGGTATCATATCTAAGAAAACCACCACCTAGTCCAAGGTCATGAGTTTTTCTCTGAATGTTGTAGACCTTACATTTAGGTCTTGGGTCCATAATAAGTTAAGTTTGTATGTGGCTTGAGGTAGAAATCCAACCTCACTCTTGAAAAAAAAAAAAAGCTTTTAAGACTCACTTTTCCACATGAATAAACCAAGTGTATGAAGAACACTGTTTTCACCGCTACCACCCCCACGTACACAGATAACATAGTATTGATGCGGAATGTGAGCTTTCGTGTTAATCCCTAAACCCACTATATTTTTAAACTTTGTCTTTGCTCCATATCCCCTGTGAACCCGTCCCACTTTATTTTAAGCAACATTTGTATTTTGGAGATGGTCCTTCAGAGAATCTAGTCTGCCATCACGTAGGAAACATAAATTTCTTAGAAAATATTTTCTAGAATAAAATAGACCAACAGTCTCCATAACTGCTAGTAAATGCCAACCTTCAGCAATTTCCCTTTACAGTAGGCATTTTTCTACACTTATAAAGAGGCTTTATGCTTATATATGCAAGGGACATTTTAAAGAATTAAAAAAGTAATATTTAAGAGAAAATGTTGTACATAGTTTTTATGTTCATAGTTGAATTCAGGGAGAAGATGTAGTGACATCATTGACATTACTGACAAACCTATCTTACCTCTCTTGATTCTGCCATCTCGTGCAAGGCAGCCATGAGGCGGCACACTGGTCACAAAAATGGGCAGTTCCCCACTCTTACTTCCTCTGCCCCCAGCTACTGTCATTCCAAGGGACTCGTGAGGTTCCTTCTTTACAGTAATGTGTTTTTCTTGGCAAGTTACACACTGGGTAAGATCCTAAATAATGAGAGGAAAATTTTGTGGAATATATTTATTGGAATGAATATAAAATGAGGACAGCTTAAACTAATGTAAAAACTTATATAGTAACTGTAATTTTTTTTTTAATCACTCAGTATAGAACTGACAGTAATACACAGTTCCTCATAGGTTCAAAACTACACACTGATCACTGTGGATCACGACAAACTTTGGATTTTTCGTATGACAATGGAACTAAAACAACTTAAGACTATTGGCATGTGTAAGTTAAAGTAAAACAAGCACATCATTTATATAGTTACCTTAAAGTCCGATATATGATCAATTCTATAAAAGTAAATAATGTTTGACTTTTAAGAATCTAAATATGAGCTAATTAACTTTTCTTCCATCTTTCTTCCCTATTCTTTGAAAGGAAAGTTGATAGTACAAGATTATATTAATGTTACTAACAATATCAACAATGGAAATATATGAGTTACATTTATAGAATTTTAATATTTCCTTTAGTGGCATAAATTTAAAGAGTTGACATGCACTTATCTATTAACCAGGCCCTAGAATTCCAGGCCATGTGCTTTCTCTGATCCTGGACTCCTGCACTCCTGAAATTTTTATTAAGAGAATTATTTGTAATAATAGCAGAGCATTCCTAAAAATAGGTATGACCTAGCTGAAAACCTGTAAATATCTTAAGGTGGTCTCCTATCTAAATGTACGAAATCTATGTTAGTATTCTTCAAAATGGACAAGTGGATTTATATGAGGACATGTAAACCCAGCCTTGAGGATATTAAGCGTTTTAGCTCTCAGGTATTTCATTATTTAAAGGTAGGGATTCTAGTCCTCTGCCAGCTGAGATGTATGCTTTTTTTTTTTTCCCCCTGGAACAAAACCTAACAAAATCAATGGTTTTATTGGGTAAGCTTTAAGGAAACTTCTCAGGGTTCAACACTATATGAATGCTTATCCAAACAGCTACATAGAAGTTTATTAGTAAACATATATTTTAATTTTTTAACAATTATAATCACCTGAACAGGTTGTTTCATGAATTTGTGTTTTGGCTTTCCCTAGGAGACCTTTATTTTTCTATATCAGATTTGTCATAGTAAGTGTAAGAGTAAATAGCTAAATTAACTCTTAAAAGTATATCTCATGTGGTTGGTCCAACTAACAGCTTTGCAGAGTACCTAGAATAAGAATAAATTCAGCATTACTATGTAAAACACTGTGACATAAAATTAAAGAGAATAAGAATTAGCAGAGTTAAAAGAGAAAAATATATGTGCTCCCAACAAAATGAAGTAGTTATCTATATGAATGTTGAAATAAACATAATTTTAAAAGTTTTCTTATGTCTTAACATTACAATGTTGTCAGACATCCATATCTCAAATCATTGTAAAATTCAATGACACAAAAGATTCAATAATCAACTTTTGGCTTATACTACAATTCTTTAAGAATATTTATCTTGTAAAGCAAGGACAAGCTATCTGAAATGACTACTATTAGAAATTACTGTTCAAAACACTAACTCCTTTTTCACAGTCATCATTATGAAGGCAAAATTACAAGGTTTTCCGCATACATTCTGTTTTTTTGTTAAAAAATGAGAACAAAGACTGTGGTTATAATTGTGTGTATGTATTAACTAAACCAAAGATCAGTGACAAGTCTATACTTAAACTCAGAAAACCAAATAAACTTGATGGGCCAAAAAATACTCATGTCTTTAAGCAATGCTTTTTTAGGGTACCCGTGACATTCCAAAGGTAATTACTTTTCAAATATTGTACTTACATTAAGAAGCCATTTTAACACACAGGCAACTTCTATAGTTTTTAAGCAGACCAATGAATAAGTTTTTGTTTGGTAAAATAATTTTACTTAAGGAAAGTCAGTTTTGAACCTCACATTTAGCTTATATTTTCACACAGTTGGGTGAACGTAATCGTTGAAAAAATCCTAGCCAATCAGAAGTTGAGTTCACACAAAGGATCCAATGAAGTAAATAATATGAAAAAATGCAGTGAAGTACCACTCTTTTTTCATTTCTGGAACTAAAGATAGAGAGTATCAAAATTCTCAGTACAGACATACATGTCTTAGGAATATATTATAATACCAGTGAAATATTAATGAAGCTGTAAAAATGCTCAACATATGGAAACTTAAAATAATTTAAGGTAGTATTCCTATTAAGCTATAATAAAAAAGTGCTATACTTGTATCTATCAAAATGTATGATTTATACATTTAATAATCGCATATCTAATTCTGTTGTTGCAGGCAACCTGCTCGATTGCAAAGTATAAACTTTTCATCACTGTCTTCATTTTGCTTTTTCAGTCAGACAACCAACTGCTGCATTTAAATGAGTAATAAAAGTAATAAAGTAATAAAGCCCACTTTCAAGGAAGACTAAACAGAAATTTTTTCCTGGAAGATCAAACATTTCTCATCAATCACCTGGCAGAAGGGACCTTCTTCACTAAGAAACCACCTCTATTGTCTGAAGAACTGAGACAACAGAGTCACTCTCCAAGGCAGCAAAACATGCACATTTCACCTCCCCAATGCCCATGTTCACCTTTTCCAACGGAATAGCAGCCTTCATTTAAATTTTACCAGCTGTAACAATGATCCTTTGAGAGTGGATAAATTAAAACACACAAACAAACACAACATCTCACCTTATGTGAGCTGGGTCTGCTGTAATACAGTGGCTGCGCATGGTGCTGGCTGCTGCTCTGAGTTCCTGCTTCTCGGATAGTGTTACCAGGCTGGGCTTTCCCTGGTCTAGCAACTGTTAAATTGACCCTTTCTCCACTAGCCTGGAGGAAACACACATACATACATTACCACCAGTCATTAATGAAGCTTCTCATTGTAAAAATTACAGGCAGTATAATTTCCAATGCACTTATCGCTATGCCAGAGCCTTGCTTGGGTAGTGAATGCAAGCACTGGTGGTGAGGAAGAAGGAGGTTCATTTCATGAGTTAATATTTTAAAACTTTTGCAGGTGAATCACACACACAGAGCTCCTGAATATGCCCTTCCCAACTCTACCTCCAAAATAACCAAGGCAAAGCAGTAAAACTGCCTGAATTCTCATCTCCCCCTGATTTCTTGAAGGGTAAGGTAACTTTTTATTTTTTAAATATACTTTTTATTGATTTCAGAGAGGAAGGGGGAGATAGAAACATCAATGATGAGAGAGAATCATTGATCAGCAGCCTCCTGCACACCCCTTACTGGGGATTGAGCGCACAACCCAAGCTGTGCCCTGGATTGGAATCAAACCTGGGACCTTTTAGTCCACAGGCCAAGACTCTATCCACTGAGCCAAACCTGTATGATAACTTTTTAAAAATTCTTCTTTGCCCTTTCAATACTAATCCTGGCACTGAGAGGGTCACAGCAAAGGAAGGAGATAGAAAGGAAGAAATGATTCAAAACTTAATTAAAATCCATTGTGACTTTTGAAATAAATAAAAAGTGGCTACTTTGGAAGTTATAATTAATGAAACTATGCACAGCTTTGTTTTTGCTTGTGATGGGTTCGAGTCAAAATAGGACCAATTTTTTTAAACAGTCCTGAAAAGAATGAATATAGAGAGACTGTATAACAAGACCATACACACACACACACACACACACACACACACACACACACACACACACACACTGTATGTGTATGTCACAGCCACATGTCCCTAAGGATTATTATGGTAAGTTACTTTAGAGGTTTATGATGATTATTTTAAATTTAGAAGTCCATTATCTATATATCTGTATTTTAAACAGAGATTCATATCTAGTATATTTTTTAAATTCTTTGTTACTTAATTAATTTGAGGATTCTAGAGATGCTTCCAGTCCAAATTCCCTGAGGCCAGCTTTACTTTTATTCTTGGATTTTCCTGAGATGCCAAATGTATCCTAATGTATTTAATATGGATTCAGTTTCCATCTGGAGCCCATGTCCTGCCAAAGATTACATTTGTGATCCATCAGCTTCTCTAATATAACAGATACTAGTAACACCATTTTAAGGGATAACAATGGAGGTTTAGTTACCTCCTTACTGGGTTTAGACACTCAAAATACAGTGACTTAAACAAGACAGAAGTATAGTTAACTCTCACATAATAGTACAGAGAACAAAGATGGCAGCTCTGCTCTATGAGTTCATCTTGGAACTTTCTACATTGTTGCATTGCCATTCCTAAGATGTTTCCTCATCTCTGTGGCCCAAGATAAATTTCTATTATGAACACTTTCCAAACAACAGGCTGGATAAAGGGAGAAAGGGAAGACATGCCTTTTCTCTTTAAGGACATAACTTAAGAGTTGCACTCTGCCGAAACTGGTTTGGCTCAGAGGATAGAGCGTCAGCCTGCAGACTGAAAGGTCCTAGGTTCGATTCTGGTCAAGGGCATGTACTTTGGTTGCGGGCACATCCCCAGTGGGTGGTGTGCAGGAGGCAGCCGATCAATGTTTCTAGCTCTCTATCCCTCTCCCTTCCTCTCTGTAAAAAATCAATAAAATATATTAAAAAATTACTTTGTTACTTAATTTTTTACTTTAAATTATTTTATCTTTGTTTTTAATGTCAAGCCTAATTTATTTGATATTGACTCTTGGTCATGACCACAATTTTCAATTTTATTATTATTTCTCTGGGAAAATAGGATAGCCTACTTTCAAGGAATTGTGGTAGAAAGAGGGGAACTCCCTCATAACTATAGTCAACAATGTTAAGAAATTACTCCATTTTTAGTTCTTAAATTGGAAAATAAGTGATAACCAACTTTAAGACCCCAATGAAAACCATTTTCTATTCAAACATTTTATTGCACTAAATAGTTTCAAACAAGTTCTTTAGAATATATAGCCATACTTCCAAAGCAGAGTCTGGGGCTTGATCTAAAAGATCAATAACAAAGTAGAATGTTTAGAATTCTGACACTTCAGGTTATTAGTTCACAGTGTGAAGTGGTGAGACGCTCCCTTTGTGACTTCATGTCAGTGTAGGATCATTTTCATTATGCTTAACACCTGATAACTACTAAATATTTCATAATCAGTACTTCAACTTTACTGGGAAACTCCTGTTTACAAAACTATAAACAGAAATGAATCATTGATCTTAGATTGCTTCAAAGACAAAATTCTTAAAAAAAAAATAAGATATATAACATATATATATATATATATATATATATATATATATATATATATATATAATATTGATTTTTTTACAGAGAGAAAGGAAAAGGGGTAGAGAACCAGAAACATAGATTAGAGAGAAACACTGATCAGCTGCCTCCTGCGCATCCCCCACTAGAGATGTGCCTGCAGCCAGGGTATATGCCCTTGACTGGGATCGAACCCAGGACCTTTCAGTCCGTAGGCCGATGCCCTATCCACTAAGACAAACTGGTTAGGGCCAAAGACAAAATTCTTTGCATGTGATGGAAGTGGGCAATTAGGCTTGAAAAACTTCAACATTTGTGTTTAGGCTAACTTTAAACAGACCGCACATGTAATATTCCAGGATTTCAAACACAGCAAAAGAGTTGTGTTAAAGTCAATATATTTTAAAATGCAGGATACTCAAATGACTCATAAGTAAGTAGCATGCTTTGTTACTGGGTGTATAAATTAGTATAGTCTGATTTTTACAGAAGGAAGTTTAGCAAAATGTCTTAAACCTGAAAATAAAAGTTATAGAACACAACATGCACACAGGTATTAAAAATCATGATGTGAATCTACACTTACTATTTTTTTAAAAATATATATTTTATTGATTTTTCACAGAGAGGAAGAGAGAGGGATAGAGTTAGAAATATCCATGAGAGAGAATCATCGAACAGCTGCCTCTCGCACACCCCCACTGGGGATGTGCACGCAACCAAGGTACATGCCTTTGACCAGAATCGAACCCGGGACCTTTCAGTCTGCAGGCCGACGCTCTATCCACTGAGCCAAATTGGTTTCGGCTACACTTACTATTATAATAAATCCACAATATACTGTTGATGTAAAGAAAAAGTTGCAAACTCAGAATTTATAAGTGCATAATGTTAAGTATTTGTGTAAATATGTACCTATTTACCTGTGGACAAACACATAAAAAATGTTTGTAATGATGGTCTCCAAAACATTAATGTTGACATTTTGGGGTTATTAGATTGAATGTGATTTTAACTTCCTTCTTTATTTTCTGTATTTTGTCTTTCTGATTCTCTTTGTGGGACATGGAATACATTTCTTTTTCCCCACAAAGAAACTTAAATTGACCAACTTCAGTTTTCTATTCTCTGAGGAAACTATGATGCAACTATTTAACTACTGCATTATAAAAATAAAAATATACATTATTATGAAAAAAATTTAATGTATTTTCTACCTGTGTATGTACATTTTTTCACATTTTGGTTAGAAATTTAGTGAGGACCATCTACTTAGGAATTGAGTATTTTAACACTGCCTGAAATATATTTAGTTAATCTATTTATCGGTATCTTACTGATCTGATTTATCACTATATAAAGTTTACTCAGCTCTCCTGTTTCCTTTAACAAATCCCATAATTGATTAACTTTTCCCCCCACCCCCTCCTCCTCTCACCAACCTGGCCCGTTCATGATGTACCTGTCCTCACCAGGGCAGCTGCTGGCTGGTATCCACAGGTAAAGGTCTGAATTACTGCCTCTGATTTCAAGAAATGTTAAGGCACCCAATTTCTTTAAATTTTGTCTATGAACTGAGGCCGATAACTGAATCTCCCTTCAATGCAATGTGGCTGTGTGTTTCTGTAAGGCTATACTGAACCAAAAGTTTTAAAAAGGAGTAAGTTATAGAGGTTTGAGAATTGGGTTTTCTTATAATCTTAAATTCTCAATATTATTTGATTCTGTGTAGCAAACACATGTTTAGTGACTATCCACCTATTTTAATTCCTGATGCCCAATTATATTAATTCTTGTTTTTCCTTTAGAGTGTTCTGTTGGGCTTACTTTAAAAAAAAGGCACTATTGTTTCACCCTGATCTCCGAAGGAGATACCACATTGGGTTAAATGCCATGGCTTACTGCAGAACCTGAAATCTTCTCTGGGTGGTCTTCTAAATTTATCTGGAGTAATGCCCTCACTAAAAACACGGTTTTTCTGTGATGACAACTATCCTTACTTTCTTTACAGGGATACTGTGAGGAGAAATGTTATGTGTTTGAATTGCTTTAAATTCCTTATGGAAAAAAAAAAAAAAAAAAAAAAAGACATTATAACAGTTATTTTTAACAAAAAACGACTTGCTATTTTTATGTATCTTAAAGTGAAGAAGGGAAGGTAAGAGATAAGGTAAGTCACAACCTTGGTAATCACAGATCCTTTGAGCTTTACTTTTCTCTTTTGTTATATGTGGACAACACTGTGTGCTATGTCTACTGCTAGATGGAGCCAACGGAGCAAAGGAGAAATGACACTTTAGAGACTGCACCTATAAATAGCCAGGCTAAAAGTTCATGGACACAGTGCTTAGGAAAGATTCTATCTATAATGAAATTATACGACTGTGGATTTCAAAGAATTTAAATAGCTATGCTTGCTTTTTCCAATGAAATATTAAATATGCCCAGATTCTTATGTTATTGGCTGATGAAAACAAAATACTGATATGTGGTAACAAAGACCAAGCATCTGGAATGCATGTCTCAAGTGTACCTGAATGATCTGTGCAGCCAACTCGGGAGTTCCGTGCTTCAGGTCATGCCCGTTGATGGCGAGCACCCGGTCATTGCTGCTGAGTCGCCCATCCTGCGCAGCAAGCCCCCCTTCCAGCAGGTCAAGAATAAAAACTCCTGGCTCATCCGTCCGTCGTACAAGTTTGATGCCAAGCTGTTCACCATAGTCTCGTTTATGAAGAACCACGTTGAAAATCTCTTCTCGTGGAGAGTTCCCATCAGAATGGCTAGTCACTCGGTTACCGAAGCGCCTCTCTCGTAGCACAGTGAGCTGTAGGGTGCTGCAGGGCTGTGAAAGGACAGCCCTGGCATAGTTGTGCGACACATTGCTAATATCATAGTTGTTGACCTAAAAACAAAAAAGAATTATGATCATATTGTGTCTATATTCCCCCCTTCTATTTATAAAAATAACATTTCCCTAGGAAACTAACATTGTAAAAATGATATACAATCATTATTTACATAGAAATCCACTCTAAAGACATTTTAAAGTACAGAATTCCTAAAATTAACTTATAATTAGCATTAAGTAGAGAATAATAGTTAGGATTACAGCATTAATGATAGTCTTGAATTAGCATCCTTTGTTCTGCTATGTACTAGCTGGATGACCGAGGGTCATTATAGAACTTATTTGAGTGTGTTTCCTTATGTGTAAAATGTGTTACATATTTGGGATTGAAATTAAGGTAGAAAAAAAAATTCCATAAAATATATGGGGAATCAGAAGAAATTACAAAATCCTAATATTTTACATATAAGAATATACTCACATTCATATACTTTAGGTTCCACAGCACCACGATTTTTCAAGCTTTAAATTTATGAATAAGAACAAAATGACACAAATTAACAGAATTAAAATTGGTACCTGAAGAATCTGGTCTCCAGCAAGGAGCCTTCCATCTTTGGCAATTATCCCATCCCGATAGACTTCCTGGATGACAATGTTAATCAGTGGTGTTTCATTGCCACCCACGATGCTAATTCCTAACTGAATGTAAGGATTAGATCGGTGAATTTCAATCGTGGTGATTTCACCTTCTGGTAAACTAGGTGGCTGTTGTGTGGCTGCAAAGTTAAAAATGAGAAAGAAAAAAGAAAGAAAATAAATGTTTTATATTTTGAGGTTCTTCAGGTAAATAAGCCATCTTATGTTAATATATGATTAATAACTGATGATACCACTGGATAAGAAAAAGATAGTGACTAAATATCTATATGTTAATATTATCTAAACATTTCCTCTTCCGAAGGTAATCAGTATATAACCAACAAATAGCTACCATGTATCAGATCACTAGGGAAGGTACAATGATCTGATAAAGAAACATTAAAAGACAGTCATCTTGTTCTAACTGATAAGAGAAAGTCTGAATCATTAACAAATGTGAACATGCAAGGCAGTTTAAGGAAAAAAATAACTCTGTGCTATGTAAGCACTACAGATGCTGAGCGAGTAATCACAGCTGTAGGAGAGCTGTAAAAGGTGGATGTTGAGCCTTCGTAGATGAAAAAAGTTCTAGCTATGGCAGGGAAAATTGGAAATGTTTAGTAAAACTTGAAAATTTTAAGGGAAAATCATATTTAAAAGTAATTTCCAAGAGATATGCCCAATATCGAGGACTACAGGCTTTCTGTTTGCTCCTAGTGGGTTTGTACAGTCGGATTAGTGGCTGACAGCAGAGTGCAGTAGTCACAGTGTGGCTCTGGAGACAGATATACAGCCATTTCTTAACAGTATGAGCTTGACCAATTAATCTCTCAAGACTCAATTTTCTTACCATTAAAAAAAAAAAATAACCCCCATAATAGTGTAACAAGCACTTAATCAGTTAATTTATATGAAGTGCTTGGCCTAGGGCCTGGCACAGAGCAAGGACTTAATCCAAGGTATTGTTTTTGTCATTCTTAATGTTACTGATTTTTTAGTCAAAAAGCAACAAAGTCTGAACACAGGAGCAAACAAGAAGCTGTTAATGACTAGCAAATTCATGAACTATAACAGAAGAGGGTGGGGGCACCTTCTTCCAGGGTAAAGATCACGTTCTGCTTCTAAAATGCCAATTGTTCGAATTATAAACTTAGGGTGATTCCACCCTATCTCAATAAAATCATTTTCTTAAGAGGAAAAAAATACACGTTGGAAAATCGGAGGGGGAAGTAAGGAGGAAGCAAATGTCCGATTTGAAAACAGAAAAGAAAGAGGTGACTAGCACATACTATCAGCAATGGTGCTCTCCTCGAAGGCAGGGTTGTCCAGGCCAGGCTCCTCAGTCCATACAGGAAGAGAGGCTGAGGTCAAGGTCCGTTCGGCAGGCGCTGTGCCTGTCCCTGAGCAGTCCGTTTCGGGTGGAGAGGTACCTGGGAGATCTATTATAGTGGTTCCATTTTCATTTTCAGTCTCTGTCTGAGTTTTGCTGGTTTTCCTTCTCTCTAGGGCAACTCTCTGATGAGAAGCTCCAGGACATCTAGAAAGAAAATATCAGGTGGTTTCCAGATTATTTGAAAGGAGAAAAAAGTGACTAATGGCTTGTACCACAACAAAAGAATGGCAGTGGCTTCTATTGCACAAAGCACCTAGAGGTATCCATAAGTTATAATTCCAATTGAAGTAAGTTCTTACCACTTCACATAGTGAATTTAAAACAAGGCGTCAGCATAAACAATGGTTTGGTATATATCTCAAAGAATGTTTCAATAAAAATTTGAGCATATATTAGTACCAGAGACATACACACCAGTATAGTGTACAGTATAGTTGTCTCAATACTACAAGACTTATTCTGAAATTCTGAGTACAACCCTTTCTACAGGTTTACTGCCTGGCCTGGACTGGACTGGAAATCATATTCTTCTTTCTCAATAAGCCCTTAAGCGCTTAATGCACATATGCCTGACTCTGCACTCTCACAGCCAATGTCAAACATTTACTCATTAATGATAGCAAAACATTGAAGGTTTACAATTTGTAGGAAAACATAGCAAAGGCCCAAATAACTGTATAATAGACATGGAAGGAAATAAAGAAAACATATATCCTAGTTTGTAAAATTAGAATTGCAATTGTGGAATTACAGCTATGCTAAGTTAAACATATATTCCAAGTATCTGGGAAATTTACATAAACATTAAGAAATACGAAGTATTTGTTTGATTTTATTTATTTAAGCAAACAAAAGGGCACAAAAGTGCTTGTTTAAACATTTAAATAAAGTTTTACATAGATATTAGAAGGGTCTTTTCCACCTGACCTGTTTACTGGAGAACATGACTAATGCACAGTTTGAACGGTGGGAGAAGGAAAGGGCATTAGTGGAGAGCTAGATGTACATCCTACAGCCCAACTTGATTCAGACACCATGTTGGGTAAGCAGGCACACAATTTTATGTCTAGGGTTGTAGATTTTCATTCAATGACAATATTGTTTAAAAATGTAGCATTTTGATAAAAATTAAGTATAGGATTAAATTAAATTAAAATGGCAATCTATAATAGAAATAAAATTTCCCTCATGAACTAAAGATTTAAGTCCTGGATTTCAAGTTCTTTAAAAGAATCATTAAGTTTTTACTCAACTTTCTCCCACTAGTTATTTTCTCTTCCCCTCATTAAGAAGATGGCTGACTTTCCTTACTGCACTGCTGTGAGCACTCTAGGGAATGTCCCCACAAGGGCTTGACAAATAAGTTTGAAAATGATATCATTGAAAAACCATTTTTTGTAAGTATATTTACTTAGAAATGCATTTAAAAATATTTACTTCAATAAAAAAAATTGAGACAAAACTGCATCATAAAAAATATTTGTGACTAAACAGATAAATATACAAGTTCCAAAATGTATATCATACAGAAATATATACATAGGCAATAGCTAGTCTTCAATGAAAAACATGAATTAGGAAAGGGAAATACAAATAGAATGTGAATACTGGAAATTAGCCTAACTAACACACAAAAAAACTCCTACAAACTAAATAACTACAAAGCCTATCTTATTGTTAAAAATAAAAATTTTTTAAAAAATCTAAAGTTGTTTGAGAGGTAAAAAAAGCAAATATACTTAAAGTCCCAATGGGGCAGCAAATTGCTAATAGGAACTAAATAAAGATACTTTTAAATATCACGTGAAAATACAAAAGAGAGAACTTAGCCAGCACTGGAGAACACTACCTTTGAGAATAACCATCCTATATAATAAAAGCCTAATATGCAAATCAACCAAACAGTGGAACAACCAGCTGCTATGATGCACACTGACCACCAGGAGCTTCCAACCCGCAGGCTCCAGGCCGGCCAAGGCGGGTGTCAGTGGAGGCCCCCCGATCACCCCTTTGGCCACCCTGCAGAGGGAGGTGACTGGCAGCAGTAGTGGGGCAATCGGCAGGTGGGGCTGGTCAGTGAGTAGGCTGGGGGGCTCCTGCAGAGGAAGGTGACTGATGGTGGTGGTGGGGCAATCGGGGAGGGAGGCTACCAGTGGTGGTGGCAGGGGGTGGGGCTGATGAGAAGGCAGTGCCAGGCCAGCCAAGGCAGGTGCCAGCGGGGGGGGGGGGGAGGGGGGGGCAATCACGCTGCCAGTTACCCCACAGATCGGCCTTAATCACTGGCCAGGCCTAGGGACTCTACCCGTGTACAAATTCCATGCACCGGGTCTCTAGTCTATATAATAAAGTGATATGTAAATTGTTCATTATGGCATCACAGTAATGGCTGTGCACGCAGTAAGGGGACTTGCATGAGGCTCGCTTCCCTGCCCCAAGCACTGGGCCGAGGAATGAGGCTGTGTCCCCTGTCTGGTGCCGGAATCCTCTTTTTTTCCCGGGTGCACATGCCCGACAAACACCCCTGTGACACTGCCGGGGTATACCACCAACCCCTTGCCTGAGATGGGGGGGCGAGGGGTGACACCCACATGACCGAAGGCCGGTTCTCGAGGCACAGTCCGCAGACACCAACCGGGGAGTGCGAGCATCGGTGGTGACTCCAGGGAGGGGTTGCACATTCAAGTTGAGAGGGTGTGGACCCAAATGAAGGAAGGGCCTGGGAGTGATGACAGAGTGGACATCAGGGTAAGGCACCGGACCTGGATGGGCCACTGGGTAAACAACATGGAGATCCCACTGCCACAGGCACATGGGGCGGCCCCATGATGCCTGGGACACAAGTGCACCACCTCAAAGCCTCCTCCTGCCACGTGGACCCGGCCCCGCCACCATGGAAACCACAGGCAATCCTCACACCACAGGGAAGTCACTATGGCTTTCTCCAGCCGTCCATCCATTCATCTGCCCGGTCTGACCCGGATGGGGGCTCGCATCCTGGGCGAACGCCCCCTGAGGGCAAGCCAGGCCCCAACTATGCCTGCACAAGCACGTCTGCTGCCTGTAAATTCGGGACAGAAGTGGACAGAGAGCCGGTAGGGTGCGGGAGCGGGCACTCTGGGGGACGAGAAAGGCCTTCCCCTCTCCCTTCAGCATGCAACAGGAGAAAAGCCTCACGTGTGCACACAATGCAGTGGTCCCCTACTTGGAGCAGGGAGGCGCAGGCCATGGTAGGCAAGACACAGCTGCATTGTCGCTTGGCCTCTCAAAGCTGGTGTGAGAGGGGCCCGAGTGCCCAAACAGAGGACATCCCTAGGGTTCCCGGATTGGAGAGGGTGTAGGTTGGGCTGAGTGACCACCCCTTCCCCCATGCACAAATTTCATGCACCAGGCCTGTAGTATTGAAATAAGATGGAACAGGTGAGTAGATTGAGAAAAAACAACTAGACAAGAGGAGACAATGAGAGCAAGACTTCAAGTAATCAAGGGAAACAAGAGTGTTGCCAAAGAAAAAGTGGCCAATAACACACATACCACATAAGGGACAAATAAGATAAAGACCAAAAAGCATTAGTTTGATTAAGTATTGAAAAAGTCATGGTGACCCCAGAAAGAACACTTTTGATGCTAAGGGCAAGAGACCAAACTATAATGCCAGCATTTCTGTTACCTTAATACAAGCATCTACAAAAACATCACACTAAGAATTACAGGGCTTAAGTGAGTAGGAGAATTGATAAAGACCATGCAAAACCTGTACACCTGAGAATTGGAATGGCTGCTAATGGGGATGAGATTTCTTTTTGGAGTGTTGAAAATGGTCTAAAAATTTGATTGACTGTATACTTCCGTGAATATACTAAAAACTACTAAAGTATACACTTTAAAAACAGATTGACTTTTATAGTATGTGAAATATATCTCAATAAACTCCCAGCCCCCTCCCTCCCCCCCCCCCCCCCCCCAAAAAAAAAGACTACATGGAATGAATAGATCAGAGCAGGTTTGGCCAGAGAAAAGCCCAGACCAGACAGACAACTCACAGCCATCATTCCTAAAGTTTGCAAATACTTGAAACTGAAAGAAATGAAAAAAAAAAAAACCAACATTTGTAAAGCATCTAATATGTGCCTGTCACATGTAAAAACCTTTACATACAGAATTTTAGTGAATCCTAACAATCACTCTATTATCCTAATTTTACAAAATGGGAAATTTGAAAGTCAACTAAGGCACCATCACATCGCTGTTAAATTGTAGAGCCATTTAAAACACACTCAGATCTGATTTCAAAGATGTTTCCTGTTTCGACTTTGTCACACTAAATTCATTCTTATGGAGTTCTTTCTCTAGGCCTTATAAATTGAGTTTGTTCCAGAAACTTGTACTTAGAATCACAATTATAGAATGTAAGAATGAGAAAGACCTTGGTGATCTCTAAAAAAAAAATACCAAAATCATAAACAAAAACCCATGCATCTTATTAAACGGAGTATTTAACAATACAATACAAACTGCAACTGGCATTAAGGGACATAACTTGGATTATTGAAGCAGATAACTCACTGTAGCAGAAATCTAGTATAGAAGATATTACAAATAAATAAAAACAACAGAAACAAAATACATGCAACATTTAACTTCTCAGACAATGCAAATGGAAGTGTACCTCTGAGACGGCAGTCTGCCCTTAAAAGAGGCAGTATGAATTTCCCAGGGAGGCCGTTCTATTGCAGTTTTGTTTTTAAAATTTTAAAAATAAGATCAAAAAGCTCTTATAGCAACCAGAGCCAAACTGAGGGACCTTTTCCCTTTCTGCTGAAGGTTATACTTCCATTCCCATTAATATGGCTCTTCTTATGGAGACAAAATTACATAAAACTTATGATATAGTTGCATCATTCCCAGATACAACTATGATTCACATTGGGGAATATACAGTGTAACTGAATACACTATCTTATTAGTAGTAGTATTAGTGTCAATGGTGGGACAGCTGTAATAGAAATAAAATAAAACAAAACAATGCATGGTTAGAAGTAAAATAAAACACAATGCATGGTAAATGCCAGCACAATGACAAGTACTTAATAAAACTCAATATGAGCATCTTAGAAACAAGAAAAGTGAGCCCGGCCGCCTGTGTG